TGTGTTTTTCTGTCAATATGGGGTGCTGTGTGTACATTAATGAGGAAAAAAATGAACTTAAATGATTTTAGCATATGGCTGCAATATAACAAAGAGTGAAAAATTTAAGGGGGTCTGAATACTTTCCATACCCACTGTATAATATTGTCCAGGAGATATAAAATCAAACAGGTCAGTTAAAAACCAGCTTGACATCTAAAAGAAAATAAAGACATACAGTATATATCTGATAGTAAAAGGCAATTCTTTCGACAGTCTAGGTACCATTACAGCAAATGCATGGTCATCCTTTGTTGCAACTTGAGAATGGGGTATTGTGAGAAGGTTGCTTTCTGCTGACAGAATTGTGCACCATTGTATGAGAGTTTTTAGAAGCCACAGAGAGTTTGGAGCACATCCACTTGTTCTTTTCAAGTGATTGAGTTTTAAATTGTATTCTGGAGCCAATAAACGAATACTAAAAATGGGCTAATGTGTTTTTGTCTCATAGTTCCAGTTAAAAGCTAAGCAGCTGCATTTTGGACTAACTGAAGACAGTTTAGTGTTTTTACATGAATCCAGACAGAAATAAATATTATGTCTCATCATTAAACTGGAGAAAATTAGAAAACATCAGCCCCTCATATCATAAAAGCAGACTTTCAGAGAAACCAGACAAAGATATAATTGTCAAATATCAGTGACCAAGGGGTCTTCACTGGTCCACAGACTAGTGTTAATTTTTATTATCATCGTTTTTTCCACAAGTCTGTTTCAGACTGGGTCTAAAATCTGCCCTCTACAGCAGAACACATTTCCTATGCAACTGCCCTGTATGAGTACAGCTGAAGTGTTCAATAAAAACAAACATACACCGCTCTCATCAAATATTAAACCAATCTATACAATTAATCATTGATTTAAAAATATATATTTTTGCAGCTGGAGCTAAAATACAGCTGTAGTTCAACATCTCAGCAGAAAAACCTGTGCCTTATCTTAGCTTTCCCTGTGAAAAGACTTTGGTTTAGTGGTGTTGTGGTCACCTGTGAAGGCATCACAGTCAGCCAGTCTCTGTTCAAGTAGCTGAGAGGGTCCCTGTCAGCTGACATTAGGCTGTGGAAGCAGATCTGACTGATCCACTTGGCTACTTCCAACACCTCTGACACTATCAGCACCTGAAAGACAGGGCAGGAAACTAACTTGTACTTTGAATTTTTACTGGAGTAGAAGTATAGACATCAATATTGTACTCTTTACACCACAACATTAGTTTTAGAATTCCGGTTACTTTATATACTCACATTAATAAAACAAAATATATTCAACATATAAATAACGATGTACAAGCTACCCAATAGTATAAAGTACTGTATACAGTATGCAGTATAAAGAAACTGATATTAGCCCCACCCTTATCAGTGACAACACTGAAGTGATGCTTGCACATTACTGCATCAGTAACTACTGTATCGTCCAGTAATTTAATACATTGTTCTGAAATGAGCCATTTTATAAAATTAGTACTTTTACTTCTAGCACTTCTGATGCTAGTACCTTTATTTTACATAAAAATCTTAAATGCATGTAACTTAACAAAATGATGGAGTATTTCTATACTGTAGTATTGTTGCTTTTTCTAAAGTAAAAGATCCAAGTACTTCTTCAGATACATGCAGTATTGTTGAAAAACATGAGCAGTTAAGGGCAGAAAAGTGAACTGTTCTACCTTGACATCAAGTTCCTCAGACTTCATCCCAAAAAGCACCAGAGATGCATAAACCAGCACCAAGTTGCTGAAGGCTTCGCTGGAAAATCTGCCATCACACAGACAGAAGCGATGGTGGTGAGCCTCTGTGTGCAATGTGTGGGTGTACCTGTCCTCCTGTGGTTATGTGGACAAATTTTAGTTAGATAGCATGGTTCAGAGGACATTTTGGCTGGTGCTGAGAACTTCAAAGTGGTGTTTGAAGGTTAGGATGATTGTATGATTCAGGTTAGAATTAGGCTGGGGTAGAGTTGGAGTTAGGCATTACTAATACTTTTGACTGGTAGTGTAAAGACAAACGTGTGTGTTTGGCCACTGACCCTCCTCCCTGGATGTCCGGGCAGTGCAGGATGAGCCAACAGCAGCTGTACTGAAGAGAGAGTGCAGCCAGCCTCATCACCAGTCCCTCACCGGCTCGCTCCTCCCACAGTTCATCCTGCTCCTATACACACACACACACACCCATACATGGTCATATGGCAAGTTACCACTCTATAACTTTGTCACCCTAATACTGTAATTTCACTACACTGTTCTCTTCTGTATGCAACATCTAATGCATGTTTGTCTGTCCTGGACGAAGGATCCCTCCTCACTTGCTCACTAAAACGTACAGTACACACATGCAGATCAGTACAGGTAGAAAACTCAGCACCACAGCAGATTAGTGTGGGTGTGTGTGAGTTCATGTATCTCTGTCCTATAGTACCTGGATGATGACTGCAGTGCTTTCATCCACTGTGATCACAGAGTAGTGATCAGTCCCTCCCAGCATCTGCAAGGACGTACAGTGGCTCTTCTCCAGCACAGTTATATTAAACCTGTAAGACACATTTCATCACTACATTTAATTACACTAGTTTAACCACTAACCACTAACTGATTGGCTGCAAGAAAGTAATTGGCAGCAATTCTGATAATTGATGTAATAATTTGTAATCGAGACCAGAAACCATGATACAAATGTCCACTGTCTCATATCATGAATGTGAACCTTTACCCTGACTCGAGGGTCTGTAGCAGCAGTGGACAGTTAACAAGCCCCTCTGTCGCAAACAGCACATAGGGCACATTGTTCTCCAGGCACCAAGATGCGTTTTCCTCTTTTGGAAAAAAAAAAACAAACAAACAATACACATATATGTAGAAAAATAATAATAATTACATTAGATATTACTGCACAGTACTCCTATGTATTTGACTGATGTGTATTTGGTGGCAAGCAGACCATCGTGGAGGATGGTGTTGAAGCGGAGGTGTCTAATGCTCCTCTCTCTGCAGACTGTGGACCATGGAGACTGCCCTGGATGGTCATACTCCACCACAAGAGAGAAACAGTTCCAGGGGAAGTCAGGGCCTATGTACTGCTCACACACCACCACACACACACAGTCGCACACGCTGGCGGAACAAGATTGGATTGTGAAAATAACAGTATTCAACGCAACTGCTTGAAAGATTTCCTTTAACACAGCAAAATGATTAGCAATTACTGCAGGCACTTTTGCTACTTTCTCGTGAAGTATCATGAAAGTTTCAGCATGGTAAAAACAAGCGAAACATAATGTAGTCCAGTACGACACCATCTTTAACCATGAAACTGAAATATTATGAGCTTCAGTGTTGCACTGAGTTGCATACAGCTGTACAGGTGTATCTAATAATCAGTGGTTGGTGAGTGTATGTGTGTAAAATTTTAATCTGCAAAGTAACTATCTTTCAGATGAATGTAAAAAGTACAGTACTCCCCACTGAAATGCAGTGGAGTAGCAGAAACTAACACATTATGGAAATATTCAAATAAAGTACCTCACAAGTATACTTTAGCACTGTACTTGTGTGAATGTATTTACATATTCCACTGCCAAGTTGTGCTTCCAGTGAAACCTGTATGAACCAGACACTACAAGCCCACCTGCTGACCACGCTGGCACCATTCAGTTTGGTCTTGTTCTCCTCAGGACAAACCACAGTTACAGCTGCACCTTCTGCAATAAAACATGAACATACACAGCTTCGCATTATCGCAAGTTTTATGTAGTGTCGTCACAAGCAATTCAGCTTGTAATAAAAACAGCTCACTAGTGGGTTCATTCATTAGGTTCTTACCCACACAGGACGTAATATAAATTAAATTCAACTGATTAGAGTTGCACGGCTGAAGGAAATCAGTAGATGCTGACCTGCCACTTGGCTCAAGCTGTTGATGATTATTGATCTGCTGTCATCAGAGTCAACTGATAATATGACTAGAACCTACAGAAAGACATCCAGGATCAGGACAAGTCAATCAGAGATAAACACAAATTCCACGGATGCTGGCAAAAGAAAAATCTGGGCTTCTTTTCAGTAGATAGTGAGATCTTGATTACCATTAATGATCTGCAAAACCATATAATTTTGCCTCATTTTATCAATGCAACTGCAACTATAGCAGGTGGTTATAATGATGTAGAGCAAAACAACTGTTCAACATTTACAAATTTCAGCAACCAAACTGCATCATGTGACACAGAAAAACATATATTAAGAATATAGAACCAGCTACATAAACAATAAAACCAAGAGCAAAATAAAAACACACAATATAATATCAAAAGCTAATGGGAGACTTCCATATCAAAGTATAAATATAAAACAAACTAAAAGACATCAACATGATGCCACTGGAGCCCGTTAGACACAGAAAGCCTGTCTAAAGAGATGAGCTTTTAGTTTTGACTTAAAAGACGATAGCTCAGTTATGGACTGTAACTCCGGCGGGTAAGGAGTTCCAGAGCCTAGGGCCTTATATGGCAAACGATCGATCACCCAATTTGTTATATCTTGTCCATGGGACAACCAAGGACATGTGCTCTGAGGAGCGTAGAGCCCTAAGCAGAGTGCGAATGGACAACAGGTCAGACAGGTATGGTGGAGCAAGGCCATTAATAGACTTAAATACAAATAATACCTTGAAATCAACTCTGAACTGCACTGGTAACCAGTGTAGCGGGTGAAGGAGGGCAAAGGTCAAGGTCAAAGTGTTTATTTGTCATATGCACAGTCAGGAAACGTGTTTCCCTGTACAATGAAATTCTTACTTTGCCGTCCACATGAATGCCACAAAATACAAATAAATATAAAGTAGATAAATAAGCAACACAAAATCTAAGGCACTTTAAGCAGCAATTTAATAAAAATATATAAGAATATAATAAGAGAATGTATGGGAGCAGCATGTGCAGCAGTCAACAGTCAATGTGCAGTTATGCATGTGCAAACTGAGAATGTAAACAGTACAGGTCGTCAGTACATGACCTATTCCTGGTAATAAATTCCTCAGCTGTTTAGGAGTCTGATGGCAGAGGGAAAGAAAGAGTTTTTCAGTCTGGTGGTCCTGCATTTTACACTTCTGAACCTCCGGCCAGAGGGTAGGGAGGCGAACAGTCCGTGCTGGGGGTGGGTGGGGTCTTTGAGGATGGTGGCAGCTTTCCTACACACCCTGCGGTGGTAAATGCTCTGCAGAGAGGGCAGTGGAGTCCTGGTGATCTTCTCCACAGTTTTTACCACTCTCTGCAGGCGCTTGCGGTCCATAGCAGTAGTGCTGCCATACCAGACAGTGATGCAGCTGGTCAAGATGCTCTCAATGATGCAGCTGTAGAAGTTGCAAAGGATCCTAGGCGACATGCCAAACCTCCCCAGCCTCCTCCAAGGACAAGGGTGATGTGGGCATACTTAGGAGTATTTGACAGCAGACGAGCAGCAGCGTTCTGTACCATTTGAAGCTTCCGAAAGAGAGATTTGGTTGATTCCTATATAAATGGCATTGTAGTAATCAAGATGCGAAGTGATGAAAGCATGAATGGCTTTTTCTAAATCCACATGCGACAGGAAGGGCTTCACCTTGGTTAGGAGCCTCAGGTGAAAGAAGCTGGTTTTGACCACAGATCTGATCTGAGGCTACTGTCAAATAATACTCCTAAGTCTTTCACAATGTCAGTAAATAATGGGGCTGAGGCGCTTAAATTAGGTACAACAGTGGAGGACTCAGGACTAAAAACGATGTATTCAGTCTTACTTTCATTTAAGTGGAGGAAATTCTGTGATAGCCAATGGTTTAAAATCACGAAAGCAGTTTTGCAACAGGATGAGGGCATTCGAATCACATTGGATCAGCGGCAAGTAAATCTGAACATCGTCCGCATAAAAATGAAAGTGATTGTTGTGCTGCGAAATGATTGAACTAGGTGGAGACATATATAAAGAGAAGAGTAACGGGGCCAAAATCGAGCCTTGGGGGACGCTGGAAGAAAGTGGGGCTGTGGTGGAGGAATAGTCGTCAATAACGACAGAGAAGGTCCTATTCGTCAGGAAAGAAGTAAACCAATTTAGGATCGCGCCTCTCAGGCCGACGTAATGTTCCAGATGGGAGAGAAGAACTGCATGATCGACGGTATCAAACGCTGCTGATAGATCAAGCAGAACTAAAATAACGGGGCGCTTGGCGTCGAGAGCCAGAGTAATATCATTATGGACCTTCAATAACGCAGATTCAGTGCTGTGACAAGGCTTAAAACCTGGTTGAAATTGTTCAACAACATCCAGGCATTCCAGATGATACTGTAGCTGCAAAAAGACAATTTTATCCAAAATCTTGGATAAAAACGGCAGAGGAGAAATTGGGCGGAAATTGTACAGAAGAGTGGGGTCAAGATTAGGCTTCTTAAGGAGAGGTCTCACTGTGGCATGCTTAAGGGCGGAGGGGACACTCCCCAGCCTGAGGCAGCTGTTAACAAATGTGACCAGGGAGGGTCCAACAATGTCAATGGCCTCCTTAATTATCCTGGCAGGGACAAGATCCAGAGGGCAGTGGGTAGATTTGAACTGTTGCACACATTTTTTAAGTTGCGGCAAAGAAATTGGAGTAAAAGTCTCCAAGGTAAACTGGATAGGAGAGGCAGCTTTAAGAGTGGGAGTAATCTTACTGACTTTCTCTATTTTGCTCTGTCCTTTCCTGCTGTGAAGCCACACAGCCAGCAGCTGCTGCAGCTCGTGCAGTTTGAAGTTCAACTCCTGGTTCTTGTGACTGAGGAAGAGGATGATCTGCAACCTCTTCACCAGCTGCTCCAGACTCTGCTTTGCACATCCCTCAGCTGCCTTAGTCAGGTACTCTGAAGTGCACAAGAAGAAGACTGTAAACATCCCAGCATAGTGTACACTGTGTAGTCAGTTTTGGGAAATTGATGGATTACAAACATGAAAATCCTCCAAATCTACATTCTCAATCAACTTCTTATTATGATTGATCACAAAATTTACATGAAAGATTTCTGTTCTCGTTTTCGTTCTCATGGCTCATTGGAAAAAAGTCAAGTACATCTGTGCATCCATCAGAGTATGACAGTTACATAGTTGTTGCTCATGTTTGCGGTCTGTGCCCTACCTGGATGCCTCGCCTTCAAATGGCTATGAATAACTGTTGTTGATTTATGATATGCTAACAACCGGGCAGAGTTTGCACTGCACCTCATTTTCATTTATTTCCTTGAAGAAGATCCACATAGAACGTTTTGATGGGTGCAGTCTTTGGATGTTTCTGCTGTTTATATTTGGAGCTGTGGCAAAATGATATACTGATTATCGCGTTATTTCCAGGCGCTGGGAACAGCTAGGGAAAACAGTGGCTCTTTGTTTTTAAAGACATAACCATAGCCGCATGGCATATTAGATTTTTATTTTTAAGACTACTGGAATATCCAAAGTCAAACTACAAAAGTGATAGCGGTTTAAACTCACCCAGTGCAGCACTGAGGTCGCACTTCAGCAGCAGCTCCTTGAATGTCACCAGCACATGGGTCAGAGCCACCTGGTTGAAAAGCTGTTGCTGATCTGCATGCAACACAGTGGGAACTTGCAGCGTTCAAATATAGGTTTAACTGATAATACAATATACAGTTCAAGCAATAAATAAAATGCATACATATGTATTTAGGCATCAATACAATAGTCTTTCATACCTCTGGCCAGCTCTGCACTCTCTGCATGCATCCTGCAGAGCTCCTTTTCCTGCTGTTTGAGGAGGAAGTGTGTTTGGTCTGGGACGATGCAGCTGAAGTCTCCCCACGCAGAGATGTTGAGCCCCATCTGCCGGGCAGAGCTCAAACAAGGTTGAGCAAACGCCAGCAGCTCACAGTAGGCATGCTGCTGACTATCTGTATGGGAGCGAGAGCACAGTGGTTAAAAATACAAACACTCTACAACAATTTAGTTTGGTCAGTGAGAACAGTACTCAAGCAGTTCTGATAAATGGGGAAGTACTCCATATTACTTCAAAACAGAAGTGCTTAAATGTTTACCATCAAATGGGCAGGAAGGCCTGAACTCTAGTACATTAAATCTGAATTAGCTAAGTATTTTGTGTTGTTTTGGGTTCTCTAATTAGACTATATAATGTATAATACATTCAAACAAAGCATATGAGCCTAATGTGTATGTAAAACATACATCAAAAGTAACTATCAAATGAATTTAATGGTGAAAAGTGTAAGTAGTACAGTAAGTAAAATACCAAGACCACAAAACTGTACTCGTTTGTTGTGAACATGTCATACCAGTAGCTTGGACCTGTACTACGCTGCTGTCTTGCCTCTCCTCCGGGTTGGACTGACTGAGAGGATGACCGATGAGCTGACCTATCAACTGGCCAGCTGCTTTCTGCTCTCTGGTAGCAGCTCCTGACACAACACCACTAATATATGTTGGCCTCCTGTCCGGTCTTGACATCGGCTCAGGAAGAGGCTGCAGTTCAGATACCGGTGTTGGATGACCCGCTTTTGGTGCTTGGGGGGGGGATGAAGCATGAATGAATCATTAGACTGTGAATAGAGTACGGTGCATGATAGGGGGGGGTATGAAGCATGAATGAATCATTAGACTGTGAATAGAGTACGGTGCATGATACCACAGGTCACACACACTGAAAGGTGTTGCCAAGCCAATGCCATAGCAGGTCAGAGAAGTTTTGGCAACCATCAGCACATTAGTTCCTGGGTGGTCGTGATAATTTGGCTGATCACATGAATTCTCTCACACACATATACATATAAAACAGTGCCTTACTTTTAAATTATGATCCATCACACATTAACATCATGAAGGCATCTGATCAGTCCCAAATCTATTCTAAAGTTAAAACATCCAGCCAGAGTCACAGTGAACTATCTTTAGAAAGAAGACCAAAACATCCTGCAATAGATGCCCTGGCCACACAGAACCCTGATCTCCACATCATAGCTGGTACATGAAGAGACAGTTCCTGGACCATGCTTAGTGCTGTTTTAAAGGCAAAGGGTGGTCAAGCCAAATACTGATGATTGTTTACTGCACTTTAAATGAAGTAATAGTAATTCATAAGCCAAAATTATTCAGCTTCACTTTACTTTGACCACCTACAACGTATGGACTTATGTATATGTAATGCTGACACCAAGAACTTTTACATTTATTGACTACATGAAATGTCCGTAAAAGAAGACTTTTCCAGAACAGTTGGTGTAGTCTCTGTTTTGGTTTCAGTGGATTGATTCTGCCCCCCAGAGACATTCTTGATATGACCACCAGATGGCAGTAACGTTCTCACCAAAAAACCCGATACCACATACAGTATGAGAATTCAGGGTACTCAGTATATATTTGTTTTACCTGAAAATCTTGTAGCCAGTAAAATACTGATGAAATTATTGAAAATGGAAAAAAAAAATCATGTTCATAGAAGAACATCAATCTAATCAGTAAATGTGTGTGTGTTTTTAAAGCAACATCCAGGTAATGTTCACGTATTTATATATTAAGAATAATGTGATGATATCTCAGCAGAATGTATTAAACATATGCTACCTACCTACACTAGGCTCCAATGATTTATGTTTTATTTTATTGTGGTGCGCATGTCAAAAACATTAAGGTTACTAGGAGAAAAATACTAATAATTCAACAACTAATAAGTACATCATCTGTTCAGTCATTTCTGCCAAATTATTCACAGCAGCCCCACAGTCTGTACCTGGAATACTGGCTGAGCTCTGAGGCGCTGCAGTCACTGGAGCTGTCTGCTGGGATCTTAGTATCATGAAGGAGGACAGAGGGTCAAGGTCCTCCTCTGGTGGACGTCTCGTATCCAGCCCGGAGGACATGGCCTGATCAGGCATGTGACTGCTCTGCACAGTTTTACAGTCAACTCTACCTGCACCGATGTTGTTCTTACATGCAGACGATGTGGCTGCAACTTCTGGAAACCTCCCATCTGAAACTTCATCTTTGGTGTTGGTGGAAGCAATAAGTCTTGAAAACATTAGGGGTGCATTTTTGACTTCCTCGTTGTTTGTGTTGACAGTGTGCATCAGGACGGTATTCTGACACATATCAGCAGCAGTTCCTTTCTGGAGACGGATGTTGTGTGTAGTAGCTTCAGCATGAGAAGCAGCACTTTGACATTTGTCCAGGTGAGGTAACTGAATGTTGTCTCTGTGATTCATCAGGATGAATCTGACTAACTCCAACAAGATGAGATCAGGAAAAGAACATGGTATGTAATGTATGTATGTAAGAAAGTTTCAGCAATCTCAAATTCTATTGCTCTAAAACATAAGGCTGGTTTGTAGCAATATACAGCAAAAATAGGTTATACACACTACAACAGTTTTCATTCTTGATTTATACACCAAAACATTTCTTGATTAATAAACTATTTGTTGAGTCTATAAAATGGGAAATTGTGCAAAATATCAATCACAGTTCACCAGTCATGTTTACATATTAGTTGTCTTCTCTGATCATCAGTTCAAAATCCAAATATTAGTGTCTTTGATAAATCAAAACAATTTAAAAAAAAAAGCCTAAATTAATCAGTTATGAAGCCTGTTCATTTTCTTGTCCATTGATAACATAATGTCCCAAAAACCAAGAAATGTACAGTTTATTTTATCGTAAATTATTGCCAATTAGCCCTCTAACAAACTACATAAAGTTCCACATGCAATGCTAAACTCAAAAGTGATTTATGAAAGGAAAAAAAAAAAACAATACTCACACTCCTCGGGTTCAGGTGACAGTTTTTCAAAGTCTTCCAATTCTTCCTCCTTGGTAACAGGACACTTAGATCGCATGCTTTCTGTGAACTCGCAGTTGCTGCACAAATACACCAGTGGGGCACCTTTCCTTGTCTGTGACTGCAGCTCGTCACCAACATCGATGAAACCACGCTTCTCTGATTTAATGACTTTGAAGGCCTCAGACAAAGGCTGGAAGTCAACAGCTGCTTCATGTATTTGAGGATCTGCCAGAAAATACAGATTAGATTATTAACGGCTTCACCGGTGTATTTATCTGTAGTGTAAGTCTATTACCTGCCCAAAATAAGACTTTCAGAGTAACAGTTCTTAAATGTGCTTCAAATAAAAACACTCAACAAATGGTTGTTGATAGTTATCACCTTTTAAACACAGAACCTACCAATTACCTGCCAACAGAAAGCCCACCACAAAAGTTGGATGCTTCTCTGCCTTCCAAAGTGCCATCTCCATCTTTTTCTGAGCTCCAGCTGACACCAAAGATCTACGTGACAGTGTCAAACACTTTCCGGCATTGCATTCTACATGAACTGTTACAAAAGAACATTATTCTTCTGCCTGTGTCCTCTCCTGCAGCTGTAATTAATAAAAGGTTATCCTCATTTGTTAAAGCAAAATCTGATATTTAAATTTGGCATGAACCTTAAGATTTTATTCGTTTACACAGTGATAAAAGTAGTAATATCCACTAAGGCTGTATTTAACAAAGTCAGAGGTAGTTAACTTAAACTTTTAACCCATACCATTGAGTCATGTTTTCATCTCAGTTGTGTCACATTCAAGTCTGTCTTGCATTCTTGTCCACCAGTTCATTTGTATCCTGTCATATGTGCAAATAAACTAAATATCATCAGGGTAACTGCTGTATTAGACATCATCACTCACTGTCTGGAAAGTGGAGGTAACTCTTCCACTTGGAGTTCAGAAGTGAACAGACACAATTTGGTTCGACCGTTCTTGAAGGTTGGGGTCAGAACCAAGTCCAGCTCCATTTCACTTGGAAGCGCCATACATCCTTATAGAAACATACAATTTGATCCCAGGGGCAGTGAGGTCACCAGGAAAATACTCATAGAAATATGTTGTGACTGTTACACATTGTCTACCCACAACTCAGAGGTGTTTTTCTTACATAAACAATTGAACATCTAACAGGTTACAGTTTGTGTGTACTCTGTCTGTAACTTGTACCTGCCAGCTCTGACTCTATCAGGCCAACATTCATCATATATTCTTTGTCGCTTGCCTCCTGTGGTACAACGTACTGGGAAATGTCCACCGATACTGAAGCGTCTGGGAGGGAAGCTTCAGGGAAAATCAATATATCCATTTATTTTTCTACACTGTTAGTCAATTTTATTTCCTCTGAAACATTCTTATCTTGTCTTCACCTTGACAGAGCACATCCAGGATTGGATGCTGCTCATCCAGCAGTTCAGGAGCAACATTCATAAGACCACAAATGCTTGAAAGGCTGGGGGAGGTTTCTGTGGTCAGTTGAAGAGCATCTACTACAAGAGGCAACAGTAGACACTACAGCAGAAAAATGATCACAAATTAAGTATTTTCATGTACACAACAAAATCATGTGGTATTTATTTTTAAATCACCTCTTCCTTAATGAGTGACTCTTTTCCAAACTCCTCTTGAATGTTTGCACATGTCTTAGTGTCACTGGTGCACACATCAGGAGGTTTTTCATAAGGTGCAAGATGCCTGAAAGCATTGCAGTCCCACAGTATTACAACACAAACTAGGAAATCAATGCAACAATAAAGTCAGTAAAGTGGCTTTCTTGTCAATGGGCATATTTAGAATTCAACAGCCACTTTGTTTAAATAACTACATGTATGAAATGTACTTTAGCAGGAACACAGAGCACACACCTGAATATTATGTCCTCAGAGATGGTATCTCCTGTTGAGCTCAGTAGGGGGTCGGCCACAGGAAGAGTTCTCAGCCTGGACAGTTTGGCTTTCAGCGTGGGTAGATGTCCCTTAAATTGCTGCAGGTAATCTACAACAATGAGCTCTTCTGGCAGCAGCAGATCTTACAGAGAGGAATGTGTAGTGATAAAGACCATCTTTATCACCGTGAAAATGTACTCCTCTAATCTACTGTAGGTAGCGTTTCTACAGTGTATATTAAATTATATATATATTAAAATAAAACCATTTAAAAGACAACTTTATTACTGCAGAGAATACAATTCAATATCTGTCTCACTGTTATACTGGTCAAAGAATGACAATAAAACCTACAATTATTTACACGTTTAATAAATGCGAATTTATTCACATTTGTATAACATTGCCTATACTTTCCAACTGCATGTAACAATAATTTCTAGTAATATAATTATTCAGTTAATGTGAGCTGGACCCATTTATAGATTCCTGAACAGAAGGGACCAATGACTTCAAAATGACCACAAAAAACAGGCAAACTGACTAGCCTGTTTGTGTCTCTTTCAGTCTGGGGGGTCCTATACACTGTAAGAGGCATGTGATTAACAATCTAAAAAGTAAATGTATTTCAGTGTTTCCCATACATTGATTTTTTTTGTGTTGGGTCACCACAATATCAACACTGGCCACCACATATTGATTTAAAACAGGTTAAATCTTCTTAGTCCGTCTGTGCCATGCTCTATTTCTCTCACACACATACACAAACACATGACATTAAGATATGTCTTTTAAATACCTTTTAAGAGCTTATTTAAGGAAATTAATTCAATTCTTTTTAAGATTTTTCAAGACCTGCTGATACAGTGTACAGAAATGAGATAACTGACACTTATGGGCTGACCTTTGTCCTCATTTGCAGGGTTCATCTGGGCACTTGTCCACTTGAAAAAAGATTCCTGACATGGATCACTGATCTGTGACTCTTTTAAAAAGCAAACAAACACACCCGGGTCTAGATCCTTCAGCGAGTCAGGATTAGAGCTGGGTATCGCGTCCACATCACCTTCCACCTCACTCAGAGTCGAATTAAATCTGAAATACAACAAAACCATTTTAATCAAAGTTCACCACCTTTAAGGTTACCTGACACTCAAATAAATGTGAAAATCAAGCCATAACTGGAAGAAAATGAAACAATTTCAGTGTTTTTGAAAGTGATGGCACCTTTCTGGTAAATTAACTGGTTGCTTCTTCCCTCTCAGGTCATCAAGAACAGAACCACAAACGAATAGTTTGCAGGTAGCAATCACTTTTTCTGTGAACATATGAATAGAAATATATAAACAAATCCTTCAATAAAGCATCATAAGTCCTAAATTAACCATTCATCTTAAATGGAGTTGTTTCATTTCCTAACAAATTATATAGTTAGAACAAAATGTCCTTGGTTCTTGCGTTGAAATGAAATCTAAACCTCATCAGGATACAGAACACATGCCAAAACCAGAGTTCACATCACTCAGCATAGATATCACTTTAGTTGTTTACCTCTGATCCATGGTGTCCTGTAGGTGACTTCAGGCAGCTTGCCACTGTGAGGGTAGAGGTCACTGGTACCAGTAAAGTAAGGTACTGGCAGTGCTAACAGGTTCATGGTTACTTTCAGACTGGTTGTAGCCTGAAATAAAGACAGAAAGGTAAAGAAAGAGGAAGACAGAAACAGTGCTGAAGATAACTTTCAATTCACTAATCTACTTCTGATTCAGCAGTTAGGGGTAAATAATTCAATAATGAAGCATCGTGAAGTTATAGTTGTGAAACCTTTAGTTTATTTATGAAAAATAAAAACGCAGTTAAAGCTACACTGAGTTTCTTCTATCCAGCCAACAACAGACAGGTCTAACTTAAAGACCTTTACATTTACATTTGTCAGACCTAGATCTGATTAACAAATGTGCGACATCTTTGTTCTTCTGTTTACTTAAACTTTTCTTACATCGTTAGGGTTTAGCTAATGAGGTAACATTAATAAGCAGCAAACTCACCTCAAAAACATAGTCGAGAGCTTTATATCTGACAGCAGAGAACATTTGAGGACGAAAAGAGCTGTCGTTTTGAGACCTGTAAATATAATAAAGAGCAAACCAAACACAAAGAGCATAACATTTATAGATATTTACACTTTTCTTACCATTATTTTAATGACAAACTACAATTTATATATTTTGTTTGATATCATGTCACAATGAGCCGGTACAGTAAATTTAACTGAATTCCCAAAATAAATGTGTCCAGTTTAGGTATCTCATTAACATGACTTTTCGGGTTAGCTAACTGAGGCGTTAGCTTGGTTAGCTAGCTTAGCCAACTCCTTCACGTAAGATAGCAAAGAAGTTATGTTACGTTAGTTTGCGAACTTGTTTTCTAAATCCTTCAACTAATGGCATATTCTCACAGCACTACTTGAACAAATAAAAATAAAATATTTAATAATGTGTTGACTGGCCAAACTTACATAAAGAAGAGTTTTATTTATTCAAGAGCTTTTGAATGACGAAGTATCAGGGAGGAGGGATTTATCTCAAAGATCGTGTAGTAAGGATGAGCCACTACTTCATTTTCTGGTCTACGAGAATGTGCCTTAACTTTCACGCATGCGCTGTTGAACATTTTAGTTCCTTCAAACACATAAATATTACAGCAAACCTTTTTGGTCCAGTGTTATAATTACACTGTAAAGGTTATAACAAAAATTTATTGTTGTTGATAGAAAATAAACCACCTGGAATATGCCTAATTGTTATTGATATTGCACTGTAGGCCCTATTAATAAACCAAGACAATGTCGGAATGGCTCATTTTAAGCTTTAGTAATTAATTGTTTTTACAATCTAGCCACAGGGGTTGCAAGCCAGTGACTTCTGTGCCTGTCCCAAGCCCGGATAAATAAAGAGGGTTGTGTCAGGAAGGGCATCTGGCGTAAAAACATGCCAAATTTAAACATGCGAATCATTAGTTTGAACTCCATACCAGATCGGTCAAGGCCCGGGTTAACAACAACCTCCACCAGTGCTGTTGACCTACAGGGTGCTGGCGGAAATTGGACTACTGTTGGTCAAAGAAGGAGAGGAGGTAGAAGGATTCGTAGACAGAGAGAGAAGAGGAAAGGCAATCAACTGCAACTGGTTTCTAATCTTTTTAGGTAGACCACCAAGGAGTGCATTACAACAGTCTAATGCATTAGACTCTGTGCCACTCAGAGTGAGAGATGGCCACACTTTAGCAATATTTTTTAGATGACAAAAGGTATATTGTGACATACTCTACCTGAGCCTTAAAATTCAGTTTTGAGTCAAAGATGACTCTGAGGTTTCCATCCTGCTGGGTTTGGTTCAGTCTTAGAGATTTAAATTTTGTGGCCAATTTCTCTCTTTGAGTTGTAATATCCCAGTTCTTTTATTGGACAGATCTGAATAAGGAAGGAGTCCGTCTTTCTTCATTTTAGTACTGATTTATTTAAGTCACAAGCAAAGTTACAAAACACAACCCGGGTGGCTCCTTCCTCCAGACATCCACAGGCAGGCTGCTGGGAAAAAAGAGTCCCGGAAGCACAGAGCCTAATACATTTATAAGTTTTGGGCTAACCCCTTACATAGAAAGAATGCAAAACATCACGAGATGGAGTCAGTCCGACGTCTCCATCTCTTATCTTATGCTCCACATGCTTCAAGCACTAGTCATAACAAAATGAAGAATTTCAATGTGTGTGTGTTGTCACGTGGTGCATAACTAAAACACTCACTCAGACATAATTCTAACACAAGATGAATACAAGAAAACAATTGGTGTGAAGGTACGCTTTTCTGTCAACCTTGAAACAGAGCAGACTAGAGCAGACTTTAATTCTTACTAAATTGCATTACTAATACATTTGATTCAACACATTGTCTAATAATTATCTGACTGAGTTATTAATATCTAACAGAGCCTTTAGACAGAAACTCAAAGCTGCAAAGCCTGTGGCCAGAACAGTGAGGAGATGCATTAGGCCAGATCAGAGCTAAAGGCCTGCTTTGACTGTACAGACTGGAGTGTTTCTGAGGCTGCAGCTACAGACCTGGATGAACTCACTGATACTATGATGTCATACATCAGCTTTCATGAGGACGTGTGTGCTCACCAAGACATTGTGAAGATACAATAACAACAAGTCCTGCTTCACAGCAAAGCTCAAGCAGCTCTGTCATGCCAAAGAGTAGGCCTATAAGAGTGGGGACACGTTCCTGTATAACCAGGCCAGACACTGACAAAGGTCAAGGTCAAGGTCAAAGTGTTTATTTGTCATATGCACAGTTAGGAAACGTGTTTCCCTGTACAATGAAATTCTTACTTTGCCGTCCACATGAATGCCACAAAATACAAATGAAATATAAAGTAGATAAATAAGTAACACAAAATCTAAGGCACTTTAAGCAGCAAATGCAGCAATATAAGAAAAATATATAAGAATAAGAGAATGTATGCTGCATGGGAGCAGCATGTGCAGCAGTAAACAGTCAATGTGCATATATACATGTGCAAACTGAGAATGTAAACAGTACAGGTCGACAGTACATGACGTATTTCCTTGTAATAAACTCCTCAGCCGTTTAGGAGTCTGATTACATCAGAACTTTTTCGGATGCGCCCGATCGCTGGGGGTTCACCCAATCAACAGTTCTGTTTTAATTCCACTGAATACGCCAGCCCCCTAAATGCTATAATACAGTTTTCCCATAGACTATGACCAGCCCCGGAACCAAAGACAGCTCTGCTAGAGGCACAGTGTCCCACACAAAATTTTCTCAGTAGCACTTGTTGCTATGAGATATGCATATGACAGTGTTCAACAGCCTTCGTGCAGCAAACCACCCACACAATGATCAAGGAAAATAAAAAAATATTTCCCTGTGCCCTCATTAAGCATTTAACAGTTAGCAGTGATCATCTTATAATTATTTAGACGTTCAGGAATATGCTCCGCTCGGAGAAGGACTCTGCCTCTGACATCCGCCTTCAGCAAGCCAGCCTTCTCATCGGAGCAAAAATCATAATAATTTTGGACACAACCGTCACAATTTGTGGTTATCCACTTATTAATGTGAATTTTACGTCTCTGGTGGTCATCAATTTCTGTGACTAGGGCACTTATTGTTCTATCCCTCTAAAGGCTCTATTCCATTATAAAGCCTCGTCCGGTTCTTTCAAACCAGGAACTCCGAGGGACGACTCAGACCACTTGAGTATATAAAAATATAACCGTGCTGGTTTATTCAAAAAGTCACAGGCAAGAATTCACACTTCCAGTCCAGAGATCTTCCAACCCCCAGGCTGCCCAAGCAGCCCGGAAACAGGAAAAAAAGACCCCGAACCACGCATTGCTATACAATATTAATCATTTCTGGGCTGTCGAACCGTGACGTCACCTGATATGCCAGCTTGGCAGCTGAGCAGAGCAGTAGACAAAACATGAAGAAAATAATGTGTGTGGCTGTTGTTTTCGTGGTGTGTATCTAAAACAATTTGACATAACATTACACATTAAGACAAATATTATGGTTACTTTGTTAGGTTATTTTTTAGTTAGATTTTTGGATCGGGAATTCACAGTCCACACAGATCAACAAAATTTTGTAAGGTCCAATATGCAGGAATTCTGTGTAAAAGGTTTCCTGCTCACCTGTTTATTGTTGCCGGCAAATGTTGATCAGTGAGTCCGTTCACTCCCGACTGGAATCCAACTCAGAATTCAGCCAATTCCGAAGGTCACGGCACCAAGTTGTTATACCCCAGTTCTTTTATTGGACAGATCTGAATAACAAAGGAGTCCGTCTTTCTCGATTTTAGTGCTGGTTTATTTACAAATATATATATATATACAAAAGGATTACAGAACACAACCCAGGGCTCCCTCCTTCAGACAAGCTGCTGGAGAAAGAGAGCAGAAAAAAAAGAGATCCCAGAAACACAGAGTCTAATACATTTATAAGTTTTGGGCTAACCCCTTACACAGATGAAGTCCGTCCAGCAGACTCCATCTCTTATCTAGCACTCCACAGGCTTGGAGCAGCTGCGTATTACGTAGTCATAACAAAATGAAGAATTCCGTGTGTGTGTTGTTGTTACGTGGTGTAATTAAAACAATCATTCAGACATAAATCTAACACAAGATTAATACAAGAAAACAATTGGTGTCATGGCTTACTGCTAACCTTGAAACAGAGCAGACTAGAGCAGACTAAACTTACTAAACTGCATTAATAACACATTAAAGTCTAATAATTATCTGACTGATTTATTAATTTCTAACAGAAGCACGAGAAGTGAAGACAAGAGGGGACTGTTTAAAATCAACAGAAAGTTTACTAGAAGTCTGATCACAGGTTGAGTCTTGCAGCGCTGGATTCAGAGAGACAGAGCTCCCACAGGAAAACTGGCTTCTGAATCCCAAGTTATGTTTTTACAATACATTTATATTCTTGGGCTAGGTCCGCCCCAGACAAAGGTACAACAATTCATGCTGAAATGTGATCAATGTGATCAAAACCAGGTGTGTGTGTGTGTGTGTGTGTTGTGATGTGATTTTCCAGGCGGCAACTGAACAATGGGTCATCTGCACTGTAGACCACCTATCTGTGTAATCCAATTACATGACAAAGCAGGACCTCATGAATACAAACACTATGTCTACACAGAAGTTAAAGTAGTCAATTTCTACTTCAGTATCACTTGACTCTCATCAATACAATTGGAAGATATATATGCAAGGAAAATAAATGTATTAAAATAACCAAAGCTCAGTAGTTCTGGACAATCATCAATACAGTTTTAACATGTATAAGTAAGGAAAGTAAAGGTATGAAAAGTAACTAAAAGACAATGAAGAACTGAAAAGTAACTAATTGTTATAAAGTAACTAAATGGACTGTACTTATATAGTACATTTTTCATAGTGTGTTGCACTGGCCAAAGCACTTTACAGGAGATCATACACCATTCACCCATTCACGCACCGATGACGACAAGGCTGCCACACAACGGCGCTAGTCAAGCCACTAACTTGCTGGTGAGGAGGAGACTTG